CAATAGCAGTCAAGTACCCGTCTCTCTCTCTCTCTAACCGCAAACCCCTTCTTCGCAGTCTGTCTCAGGCCTTGTGTCCTGCGCCTCCGGCAGCATCGAATCCAGTGTGTGGTAGCTGCTCCACACTGACCACCTACATGCGAAGAATCATAGCTGCCCGTTTGCGGATCCCCCGCTAAAACAGTTCTTTGCCCCCTTTGCCCCTTGAACGTTGTGAGACTTCAGGGCAACTCCCGGCAATTCTTAACTTTGTGGAATTCCTAAACAGGAATCCTTAAAATAGAAACACCTCAACATTGCCTTGTAAATGCTGGTTTCAACCTTTATTTTGGTGTTGAACAGCAACATGTTTCAAATGGGCAAAATGTATCTTTTAAGGAGCCCCGTAAAAGTGACGAACTTTTAGTGGGTCAAATGGAAACCCAACAGCTAAACACATTCAAAGTCTAAAAGGCACAGAATCATAGAACATGAGCACAGATCTTGCCGCTGGTTTGGTAAGCTTCGGAGCAGATCTGTAAGCCAGTGGACAGCTGACCCGGTGAAACGGTGGACACCATTGAGCAGTCGCTTGAAAAAAGGCCGACCCCACCTTGGTCACATAGTTGTCAGCAGGTAGAGTTCCAAACCTGAGGTCGATATAGAAAAATGTACATATAGAAATGTACATTCATTTGGCATCTCAAAACTACTTGGCCCCAAACTTGAAACTCTTCGCAACGGGGTTTCCCGATTTTTCGTGAAGGAACAGCACCTTTGATTTCTGAGAGCTCCTAGGAACAGCTTCATTTGCAGGGCCCACGGAGGCCGGGGTGCCCCGTAGAAGTTTGGTAAAAGAATGGCAAGCCACCTGTGTTGGGTTGTTGGGCCCCTGCCAATTTTTTGCTGCTGGGCCCTTTGAAGGTTTGAAGTTCTCCCCATGCTCAACTCATTTTTGATACAACTCAAACCCAACTTTTTGACCCCCCTTTTCCCCTTTTCCCCTTTTCCCCCATCGTCCCGCCCCCAACCAACGCATTCATCGCTTCGCGACTTGGTTGCTGCTGATCCCTCTGCAAAAAGTTCAACTTTTTGTGGGTTTAGTACGGAAAAGCTCTTGATTTCAACCAAACAGCTAATTACAGAGGTTTGAATAAGGGTACCAACTTTTTCTGTAGTCTATTTCAGTAGGGTCCCGAACCCTCCCCCCTTTAAAAGGGCTCACTACAAGGGCCCCGTCCAGGCGAATCGTAGCCGGCGAAGTCGCGAGAATTCGCGCCGGGCAGCTTGTGGAAGGCGTCCGTGTACCAGCTGGGCCCAAAGGACTTCAGCTGCTCCGCCGTGTGCGGGAACTTCATCCCCGAGAAGTGGCCTACGGCGGAAAAAAGAACGCAAACAAGCGGTGCCACGGAACTGGGCTGCCCGTTTTCAGATCCGCTGAAAGTGACGAACACTTGTTGTGGGTGAAATACGGAAACTACCACTAAAGACCAAAAGGATCTAAAAACCTAAGGAACCGGATGGCTGGGAGCTACCAAGAGAACAGAAGGAACAGAAGTTGGCTGCAAGAGAACAGAAGGAACAATGGTTTTAAAAATAGAACAACGAGTTGCAACAAACATTCCTTGGTTGCTGTTGACCCACCTGCAAAAAGTTGATCACTGTTTGGGGGGTTAGTGGAAAACACCACTTGATTTCAACCAAAAAGTTAAAGTCCAAAGATCCTAGGTCCTCCAGTAGAGAGGTTTGAATAAGGGTACCAACTTTTTTCTGTAGTCGATTTTAGTAGGGTCCTTAGCTTGTGTCTCCGTGAACAGTGAGGTACAAAGGTGCTTCCGGAGTAGCTTGGGGGTATCTGTTGCTGTCAGGAGATGGGAGAAAGCTCTTACCTCATTTAGATATCCAGATGAATCCCCCCATATATGCGGAGGTTGGTCTATGTTCCTGGCCCTCAAATGGCCATGGGTAACTTTTCCCATTTAGTGGCAAATACCATTTGTTTTGTGGTTTCCCCAATGGTCATCCCATGCAAAGGATCCTTTGATCACAGGCCATGTATATTGGTAGACTATTATGATTGCGGGTCACACCAGCGCCTGGCAAATTCTTCAGCGACATCTCCTCGGCAACTTGAAATGACATGATATATTGACAATGGGTCCATGAAAGTGACATCCTCCAAATTACCTTCCCAAATTCTGGTTTTCAGGGAACCCCTCCGAACATAATTTCGAGAACCTTCCTCAAACACATCGCTTTCAATCCCACCAAACGCACAGGGCTCGGCATAGCCAAGTCTGATCGCACTAAGGCGCGGTCAGCCATGTCCTCGGTGCGTCAAAGGCTCTTCATCTGGTCTGCTTCCCATTTGGCGTTGTAAACAGCTCAAACACATGGCTTTGTGACAAACAGGGGGGGGGGGGGCGAAACAATGGCGCTTTTTTCTTTTGGTTTCCCCTTAAACCAAGCTGAAAAGGGTACCTTCACAAAAACACCACAAACAAATTGCAACAAACTCCTCAGTTGTTCAGTGACACTGGAAAAAAGGAACCCTTTTTTGGGCTTGGACCATTTTAGTGGGGCCACCAAAAAAAAAGTTGGACAAAGAGACTCGGGGCCACTGAACAACTGACACTCCACAAGCATCCAGCTCTGATGCAAGGGGCTTTGTGGCTCAAGCGCTTGAAGGCCGGCAATTTCTCTTTCGGATGCACCTCAAGGCACAAGCACAGCACAAGCTGGAGATGGCCATGGGCCAACATCCAAATCGTACCCCCAGTGAACATCCGATTCAATCCCCACTAAAACAGGTTCTAAAATGGGTGGTGCACCCACCTCAAAATGGTACCATTGGTTTTGACCCACAGCCATATATGGATACACAGCTAGGGTGCAAGCTTGCCCTGGGGGATTGGCTCCCGCTGCACGTCCCCCACCGTCCCCCAACAAACACGAACTGGCTGTGGGTCAAAAATGGGTACCCAAAATGGCACCCTGGTAAATGGAAACAATGACTAAAACCTGTGGTCCCCTGGTGGTTCAATTTTGACTGATACCCAACTAACCCCCAAACAGCTGAGAGATCCAGCCTTGCCCTGAAGCCGCACTGGCTCTTCGACGGGAGGTGGCAACATTTCTCGCTTCTCCCGGAAGGCCTGCATCTTTTCTGCAGATTCCTGGCATGGATATTATCAAAGTGCTGAATTTGAGGACATGGATGCCTTTATCAAGCAGGTGGATTAGACAAGTGAACGGTTCTTTCTAAGATTGCACTCCCCTATTCTTCAATCGGGCGTCTATTAATCCGGGATTCCCGTTACAACAAATGGACACAGCGTGTACATGGCAACCGCAATATCGTTACCAGATCAAGCATGCGGTATGGTCATACTTTGCTCATCAAAGCAACTCAGCTCCCGGAAGCATTGCTGAAAACTGAGCACGCTTCACCTCCATCCACTTCAGCTTTGGCGCTTCCGTGCACACTGCCAACTCCTCTCACAGGCAGGCAAGCACATGTGCAAGCTCAGAATCGCACCGGCTCCTTTCCAGAGATGCGCGTACTAATCCATCCTGGCAATGAACACCACACACAAATCACAGCTGCGAATTGCTCGGCGAGGAATTCCTGGGGCCTGGTTCATTGGTCGATGTGTGCAATCGGTGAAGTCACTGCAGAAGAACTTATATACAAGGATTGCCCAAACGTTCATGTTGGCTCCACCCCTTCTCAAATGGCATCCATTTTAAACAGCCATTTTCCTCCACCCCCCCCAAGAAACATCTATCATCAATAACGCCCATGTTGGCCAATTGCACGTCACATCACCTGGTCAACTCCTGACAACATCAACTTGTATTCGTGCGCCAAACTTTAGTCAGTCCTTCCTTGATGCAATCGTTGCAATCTTGGATTCGTCATTTGTTCAAGCTTTTCTGAGTTGTTGCAGCATTGCAAAACAACAAACATGACTTCTGATTTCGGCTTGTTGGATCGTTCAACATCCTTTCAAACTTTTCAAGTGGCATCCTGCTTGGGAAGTACAAGGCTACTCCAGAGTTCAAACTCTGCAATCGATGTGAGCTGAACACACAGATCGCTGGCTAGCTCTATAAGCACGCATCCTCTTTCTCTCTCTGCCCGAAATCCATGGCCCAACAGATCTTGACAGCACGCCTTGTTCAGGACCAGTACCAGTCTCCAAACGATAACGCAGGCGCTCACCCACCAACTCCAGCTCCTGGCATTCAGATGCCAGCGAGCGGGTGTGCAAAACATTGTACAACTTGACGCACTTCCGCCTACTTGAAAACCTATGGTTTTCTCCGTGACCAACCAGCCATCGAATGTCAACTTGAGCAGACAACAAGTTACGACACACTTGTGCTGCTGGACTTGTGCTGCGTTGGTCATCCAAGTTCCATGAGTTTAGCACATGTGTTGAAGGGCCGGGTCGACAAAATGGCGGCAAGTGGCCCGGGCACAAGTTTTGTTGAGTTGTGGTTGCTGGCTTGTAGACAACACAACAATCGCCGAACAATGTGTCAATTGAAAGAGATACAGATTGGGCACGTGTCCCAGAAAAGCAAAGCGAAAACGCTTGGGCGCATGTTCCAGCCCGAAAGTTAAAACCTCCTTGTCCATGCTGAGCCCCAGCGTGTTTGTGGTTGAACCAGAGCTTGTTGCAAGACTTGAATCAACAAAAAGACCCTTGGAAGGGAATGAGAAAGGTTGGTTAAACCAATCCCCTGGCCATGGCTTTTTCTCAGTAAGTGATCGAGTCGAGGTCTATCCAATTGGTACCCCCCAAAAAGAAGTGGCCCCTATCCACAAAAAGGTAGCACTGGTTTCGGTTTCATCTGAACCTCTCAGTTGAAACAAACGATCGTGGATTGGGTGTCAGGGGTAGGGGTCTCGGATTGGAGCCACAAGGGCAGCCATTGGAAGTTCATGGCCCTTCCTCAGATTCGTCACACAGGCACAAACACGCGCGCAGAGACACAGAGAGAGAGAGAGGCAGGAATTAATGGCCCTTGGCACTAGTCACTAGCCATCAACGGCTTTCCTTGCTGTGGCTCTCAATCAGTACTGCTTGTCGAACGGGAACCAAAACAGGGATCCGGATGCATTATACACCTGAACATTGCAACTTGTAAATGGTGGTTTCCAACTCTATTTTGGTGTTGATAAAGCCACATGTTTCAAATGGTGGCAAATTGTATCTTTTCAGGAGCCCCTTTTAAAATGGGAAATTTGGCCCTGTTAAAAACCTCTCAAAAAGGGTACCAGAAGTTCCAAGGTTCGCGCGGGGGGTTTGCCGAAGAAGACTCCGTTTGAAATAATCCGGGTGCGGCATGTGGGTGTTTTCTTTTTTTGGTGGGGATACCGCTTTGAGGTTGGCAAGGGAAACCATCAGGAAAAACAATCTTTAAATCTAGTTTGGCACATATCCGGGATATCCGTGTGAAACCTCAGACACAAATATCTTGCCCTGAACTCCGAGAAAGTCGGTGTGGGTGACCAGCGGATGATTGAAGAGTTGAGGTTAACGGTACTTCGTTCGGTGCGTTGGTCAGTCATTCAATGCGTTTGGTTGTGGATCAAAATTAAACCACCAGGGGACCGCAGGTTTTAGTGCTTGGTTTCATTTACCAAGGTTCAATTTTGGGTACCTATTTTTCACCGCTGATGTAACAAGGCAGGGCCTCTCTGTTTTGGAGCTCCGATACTTTTGGAATACATAGGGAACCTCCAATGATTCTGGGTAAGGAAGGGCACACTCACTCGGATGAACGTCCATGGAATCTGACACCTCCAAGAAAGGTACACAGACACGCTCAAAAGCGCACCGTAGGGTGTTCCACCATCTGGGAATTTCTCAAAATGGTGCCTTTGAGAAACGCCAATTTGACCCAAATTCTCATCTCAAGGAAAACAGAAGCTGCTCTGCCACCTGAACGAGCAAAAGGTCGATCGCCTTCTTTTGTGGGTCCTTGGGACAAGCCATGTGATCTTCAAAAGGTGTACATTCCTTGCGATCTGTGCGCATCTCCGAAGGGGTCGAAAAGGTCTACTTGAAGGAGCCCTTGTCACACCAAAGACCAGTCACGGTCTGGCTATATGACTTTACCATCAAGGTCAGCCCCTAATTATAAGTGGTGAGTGAAATTAAGTGGCGGGTTAAAGGGAACAACCCTCAGTTTCTGACTTTGATCCCCAGGAACAGTGAAACTGGGTGTCCCCTTTCTCACAGGGGACCCCCCTGTTCCCCCCCGAATGATGGCTTTCCTTTTTGGTTCATTTTTTAAACTCACCAACCACGAGGTCGCTCCCCCCCTCCCCTCCCCCCACATTGTGGTTTTCCTTTCTGGCTTCCTTCTCCCATCAAAAACGGAGTACCAACTCCAAAAATCGACACCCCCCAAATTCCAAATGGTAGTTTTCCTTCTTTGTTTCCTTTTGTCATCACAAAACAAGGTATCCACACCAAAACACACCAACACTCCCGCAAATGACCATAGCTCCAAGATTGATTCCCCATTCTCTTCACCCATCGTTCTCTTCAAACACCACCTGTTTTCCAGGGCTTTGGCAGCTACTTTTTGGAGAAGGATCCCTCAAAAGAATGAATGGCCTCGAACAAAATCGACACCCTCAAATTTCTGAATGGCAGTTTACCTTTTGGGCTTCCTGTTTACCATCCCAAACACCGGGGTATCCACACTTAACCAACAAATCGACACCCCCAAAACGACTCCGCCCTTCCCCCAACACCGTGCGCGTCGGCGGGTCCTGGACCTTGGAGCCGGTGGCCAGTCGCGCCGCCTCCTGCGGCGACTTCAGGTCCCGGCCCTGCCGCACCTCGCCGGCCCCGAGCAGGGTGGACGAAACCCGCCGAGGGTATTTCGGGTTGGTTGGCGTTGGAAACCAAAAGGAAACCAATGGGGTCTTTTGATGGGACACCAATGAACCAATGAAAGGCCAAAAGGAAACCAATGGGAAACCAAGCAAGCAAAACGAAACCAAATGTTTGATGGGAAACCGAGCAACCAATGGGAAACCAATTCATCCAATTCGGAGCCCCCTGGTGGGAAACCAACAAAAATGCCGCTGGACGACTTTTGGGACCCGCACCAAACCACCAAAAGGAAGCCACAAAAAAAATGTTTCGCACCAAAATCCCGAGCCCTTGTGGTTGGAAGCGAAAACAAATAAAGCCACAGACTCCTAGAGGCAAAAATCTGTCCCGAACCCAAAATTCGGAGTCGCAAAATCGGGGCGCCGAAAGGAAGCCGCGGAATCGGCGAAGATGTTTCGAACCAAAACTCAGAGGCCTTTTGGTTGGAAATCAAAAGGACACCACAGAATGTCTGGCGATGTTGAGAAGCAGCCATTTTTGTTGGTTGCTTTAAAAGAAGACCAGGCCAAATCAGGTTTCACCAATTGGGGCAGGTTTGCTGGAGGGGGGGGGGCTGGCCGCTGGCCGGCGGGGTCCCTGAACATGAGGTTTGTCTCCAAATAGGAACTCCCAACATTCTAGGGGTTGATTCCCCATTCTTGTTGACCATCGTTCTTTCCAAAAACCGGATCCGTTTTCCCTCGGTGTGCGGAGGTTTTCTAGAAAGATTCGGATCCCTGGAAAGAATGGGGAAGGTACCCCTAGAAACTTGGTACAAACTTGAGTCCGGACGCTCCGAGATCCATTGGTGAACATCATACCCGTTAGGATTCTGCATCAATGGTCGCCCAACTGCTTGGAATTGCGGGGCCAAGTTTTAGGGGATCAATGATTGAAATGCAACTGCCGGCTTTGTGTTGCATACACTCAGTCAAGCACTGCTGTTACCGGGGCCGCAGGGGGGGGGGGCCTGTTTCTTGCCTCAATTTGATCTTGTGCTTTGTGGCTTGCCCAACAAAACGGGTGGGGTTGGGTGGGTCGTAACAGGGTGCCCCCATCAAGGCATCAAGGGCCATCTTCTCTCTCAGAGTCCAGCCAGAATGCCACCTGACTCGCCGCCACCAATGATCTCCCAAACGGCCATAACCTCAGGCGCGCGTGTCTCTCCATCGCTGGATGAAAAACATGCAGCCCTGTCCAAATGGGCGTCTGTTTCAGGGGAACCCCCAAAACAAATGGAGGTGTTTATTCTTGTGGTTTCCCTTGAACACCGCCACAAAGAATTACTCTCAAAGAAAGACACACCCAAATGTCTCACGAAAGCCTAATGAAACCTCGAGAGCGCCCGGGTAGCTTAGAACCCACAAGTGCCCAGTAGGCTCGTCAGGCGAACAATCTTGCCACTGAGTCTGCCACGCAAATGCCCAAAATCGGCTGCTTTGTGCCGTGGCTTGCTATTGTGTCACTGGTATATAACTCAATACACAGAAGCACTAAAGCTGAGTTTGTGCGGCGGAGAGTTGTCACGTGCTTTGATCTTGACTCCCCATCTCGATGGGCCAAAGAATTCTTAAAGAGAGATGTGCACTGTTTCCATCTTGCCAAATGCGACTTGGTGCCTCTTGCCTTCAGAAGCTCAAGTTCTTAGCTGAAATCCAGCCACGGCAACCAATCTCATGATATGATTCACAATCAATGTGCAGCTGCCAAACTCTGCATAGAGCGACACCAGGCACATGCTCCATTTTGTCGAATCTGCGCTCACTCGACGTCACCGCCTAAGACATGCAAAGCTGCGAACAAAGTTTGCTGCTCTGAAAATACTCCATGAACTCCTCCCCCAACTCCCCAACTCCAAATACCGACTTTTTTTTGCTATTTGTAGAAAGATTCTGGTTTTCCACTACCTTTTTTCTCTAGTCTATTTCTCCCCCAAAAAAGGGTAAGAGGGCACTACTGGGGGACCTAGTCCAGAATACATATCTGCTAAATTTAGGAAAGGGTTGACATGGTTGACATCAAACCCCAAAGCAAGTGGGTATTTGGAGTTGGGGGCTGTTGTTCTAAACCCCGTCCTGCATAGCCGCCCTTGCGGCCTATGGCGGAACCTCAGCACGACCCCAATTGCAAGATCGCAGGGCTGCTCAAATCGAGTCATAGTCAAAACCCGGTCTCAAAATGGTCTACCCAGAACCATGTGAAGAATTCAGAAGGCGACCGCAGCTATTTATGGTTGGGATTGTCCCTTACTAACCTTCTACCCGAATCGGTTTTGAGCACGTGGCTCACCTGGAGTTCTGGCCAATCCACAATCTCTATAGGAAAGCCACTTCCAAGGGGGCCCCTTGGGCAACCCAAGGTAAGAATTATTGAACAGAGGCGAAGGCTGAAGCGCTCATAGCTCACCATTTGCCAACACTTCCTCTATGTGTCTCATTTTTGAGGGTATCCGCTTTAGGGGGGTTCAAAGGGAAAGCGAAAGGGCCCTACTGTTGGGGATAACTTTTTTCACTCCCATCCAGTCTTTCACAATGGTGCGACGTTTGCAAAAGCATCCAAACCGGTTCAGGCCTGCTAGAGCCGCATGGTATTGGCTGTGAATTGTGGACCCTTTCTTCCATTTGCTTGAGCCCCCTGGACAACAACAAACATATTTCCAGTAGTGACAGACTCCCTTTACAACCAACAAGGGAAAATCAACAAATATCCGTTTCAGCCAATGGACCCTTTGGTGGGCCTCATTTGGATTCACTGCAAATAGCCCAAACCCAGCCCATGCACACCTAATACTCCGGATCTGTGTCCAACCCCATGGAATTTGGCCGAGTCTGGGACACCCCAAATCACATTCCCCATTTGGGCCTCTCACCATAGGGGCACTCCAAACATAGATTTCGGCTTTTCTTCGGGGTTCCTAATTCCCGCAAGGGCAGCTTTTGCGTCGGAAAAAAAAGAAGAAGCAAAAGAAGAAGAAAGAAAAACGCGAGCCACCCCCCCCGCCCCCCGCCCCCCCGACCCAATTCCCGCCGCGCAGCTGGGCGATGCGTCCACCTCCTGCACACCTAGTCTGTCTCTTGTTTGACTGCTCTTTTGGAAAAAAAGTCCGCCCTCAAAAAGATACA